TAAAACAGGCTCTCCAGATCCCAGGTGAAAGGAATCTTGCTTCTGTGCTCCATTTGCACTTCCTATCACTCGTTGCGTTATTCATAGTTGGTTATATCTACTCATTTGATCTTTCCTGCCATCCAGTAAACCTCTCGATATCAGGTACCTTCACTTGTTCTCTGTGTGCTGAAAAACCTTGTTTTGTATTCTGCGGGAGTAAGCCCTGCATTAAGAGAGGTCTGCAGAAGACACCTAGCTCATTTCTTGCATATTGTCAAGGAATTCAACAGATTTAGAATGATTTATTATATTTTTTGTAATCTCAAAGATCTCTCAGCCTTCCCTCTGTTGCTGTTACTGCACTTTTAAAGAATAACGGGGTAATTATTTTCCAAATAGCAAAACATATTCTAATTGATTTGTGATGATAATTATATGCAGCTATGTCTTATTTATTGTTCACATACTCTCTCATCATTGAACTTTTAGGAGACTGTCATATCTTTATAGATATCAGTGATATCTTTGGCTATCAGGGCTGTAGTACGTTGACTCAGACCTACTAGATTTCCTTTCCTCTGGTGCCCTCCAGCTCTACTCTAGCCCTCCACTGGGTCAGGGAGCACAGCAGTTATGCTCTTGCCCTCTGAAAACCTGTTATTCTTAGGAAGAATTTTTGTATGGAGTATAATCATGTCCTTCTTATGAGAGAAATTCAGCCCGGTAGTCTGGCAGCATGGGAATATGTTTAGCCTGCTTTTGTAAAGTCTAAACAGTTCCATACTTAACTAGGAACGAAATCAATGAGAAAATTGTTTTAGCACCCAACAAATTAGTAGGAAAATCAGCTCCTATCACACTTAGGCATTAAGTCATGTGACATTCATCTTGGTAATGGTTTCTCCGGTGAGCAATTTGAGGTTCAAGATTTTCATTTTCCTTAGTCTATGCATTGATGACATCTGTTGAGATTGTACGATTCCTATTTATTTGTGTAGCAGAGCACTAATTTTTATTAAAGCAGCGTGTGTTTAAAAGGCAAATAGTTTGTTAGAAGATAGAAATCTTCTTAGATTTTAGAAAATTGATTAGTGGTTAAAGAAAATTTACATCCCAATCTTAAATACAGTAATATAAAATTAAAAAACAATTAACTATTAGTTGGTTCCATAAACATTATAGCAGTTATTTACTGTTAAGCCTATTTCTGTGGCAGCTCTGCAGTGATTCCTCTTTATTAGTGTGCTTGAGAGGCCTGTGGGCCTGTCATCTTTGTCAGTATTGTCATCATTGTCATCATCATAGGACTGATTCTTCTAGATTTAGGAAAAGAGATGGAGTGTGTGTGTGTGTGTGTGTGTGTGTGTGTGTGTGTGTGCACAGGAAAAACAGTCAGATATTAGATGCAGAATATATATTCCAGAGAGGAATGTAATCATGAAAACCTGGTGTGCTGAACAAAGGAAGTGGTGGGAGTGAGATGGCCAAATGAAAAGGATGAGAGCATAAGCAAAGGTGGTAGTATAGATGGTATGGCTAGAGGATTAGTATTTGGGTTGAATGAGGGGAGTGCGATAGGCAGAATAATGCTCCCACCACTCCCCCTGAGGTAGCCACCTGTGAAAGTATTACTGTAATGGCAAAATGGGCTTAGCAGATGTTAAGGTTCTTGAGATGGGAAGATGGGAAGAGTGTCCTGAGTTACCCAGATGCACCCAATCTAATCACGTGGGTCCTTAAATGCAGAGCAGCTTTCCTAGTTTAGTATTGAGTCAGAAGGAGATGTGACCACAGAAGACTGTTCAGAAAGATATAAGCGTTGCTGGCTATGAAGATGGAGGAAGTGGGGCATCCGCCAAGGAAAGCCGTTGCCCTCTGGAAGCTGCAAAAAGCAAGGAAACTTTCTCTCCTAGTCTCCTGCCGAAACCCCGAGTTTAGTCCAATGACAACTGTGTTGGACCTCTGATTTAAAGCACTGTAAGATGATAAATCTGTGCCGTTTTAAGCCATTAAATTTGTGGCAATTTGTTAAAGCAGTGATAGAAAATTAACAGCGAGGTTTGTCTAAGTGATTAGAGGTCTGGAATGGAGTATGGAGAGGAAGGCTGGGATTAGACTAAGCAGTGCCTTGAAGGCTAGGGTAAAGATCGTGACATTTATACCTAAAAAACCACAGGTGAGGTGGGTCAGGGATATACTTCAAGCAGTTTTAGGAAGAACTATGTGGCAGTGCTGTTTTGCAGACCATTTGAAGGGAGGAGAGCATTGGGGTAGAAAAAATCAACTAAACCTCTACCAGAAAAGTAAGTAGTAAAATGCTGACTGGGCGTCACTGGTGGTGGATGTTGGAAAGGGAAGAAGCAGATATAAACATTATTTTGAAGAAACTGGCTATAGGTTTGATGATTCTATGTGACAAAGAGTTAATGTTTGCACAGAACATGTCTCCTCAAAATTCATGTCAAAATCTTTTTTACAAGCACATTATTATTAGTTTCAAGAATACAATACATTGGTTAGACTCATGTCAAAATTTTATCCCCCAGCGTGATGGTATTTGGAGGTGGGGTCTTTGGGAAGTAATTAAGATAAGCTGATGTCATGGGGGCAGAGCTCTTATGAATGGGATTAATGGCTTTATAAGAGAAAGTTTGTGTCTCTTTGTTTTCCACCATGTGAGGACACAGGGAGAGCCATCTTCAAGCCAGGAAGCAAACCATCACCCAGACATCTTGATCTTGGACTTCCCAGCCTCCAGAACTGTGAGAAATAAATGTTTTTTAAGGCGCCTAATCTATGGCATTTTGTTACAGCAGCAAGAACGCCTCAAAGTTTAGAACTGACTGACTAAAGAGTGTTGAAACCCAGAGGAGTGGGCAGCTGGTTTCAGGGAGAAAAAATGAGCTGGTTTCAAACATGCTGACTTTTTTGAGAATGATGAGGAATTGGGAATAGGGGCTGGCACTCAGGAGAGAGGAGAGGTAGAGATGCAAATCCAACGTTATCCTGTTATCCTGCTGGTAGTGGTAGTTGTGCCTAAGTATGAGAGTAGATACAATCTCAGTATTGGAGGAAGTAGAGGATTGTATTTGTAGATAGAGGTCATGGGACAAAAGGAAGTGATTTGTTACTAAGCCCCTACTATGTATGAAGGACTGGGCTGCAGTGAATGCTCCCGCCCCAAGCCAGGGGAGTGAGCACCTGGCTGTTCTCATTAAGGCTCCTTGCATGTGGTTATGATAATGAGCGAAACAGCTAGCTATTAGAAGACGAGGGCATGCACGTGTATGGTTATTTACACTGCCTGGAGCTGGTGAGAGTTAAAAAACAAGAACAAAAATGCTTCATTCCACTCAGCCTTCTCTAATAAGCAGGCTCAATTTAACCATTTTATAAATATTCTTCCCCTTTGACTTCACTTTTGGCCTTCTTCACAAACCCGTCCCCCAAATCACTTCCAAACTTTTCTCCAAAGTTAACCAGGCCATGTACAATTCTGCATATCTGTCCTCTGCATCAGAACTTTTTCACTGTATTATAAATACCCTAAGGTGAGACCAACTGGCAGGTGACCTGGAGAGGTTCAAGTGCAGGGCAGGCTCTGACACTAGCTCCACTGGGCCAGACTCCTGTTGTGTTCCTGCCTTTTCACTTTTGTGCTCCAAGGATGCATACTGGTACATCTGACCTCTTTCTTTTTTTGATCTGCTTCTCTACAAAGTCTAGTCTATTCCTCTTGTTCTTGAATTTACTAACAACTCATTTTATTCTAGTAATGAAGCTTGATACCTCTCTACCTCCTACAGACTTCTCTACTGGCTACTTTCAAATTTATTTTTTACAACAATCCATAAAGAAGGTGTAGGTAGGGAATAATGTTTCCTCTTATTTGTACTATTTGGGTGGTTGTGATTAAAACTTTCAGCAAACCTGGAGAGAAATAAACCCGTTACGGTTTAAACTAGAAGGGAGGAAATAGGTTGATTAGGGCTAGGATCTAACTTTATCAAGCTGCAGATGGTGCTGAGGAGTATATGTGCTTTTCATTAAAGACTCTTCTATAGAAACTGAAAAGAAAGGCTGTTAATGATTGAAATACTAAAACAGAATGATTAGTACCTTGGAAGGATTAGAAAAATATTCAAACTTCACTTTTCCTACCATTCACTGCTAAGAGGCTCTTCAAAGCATGATGGCCGTTGAATGGCTACATAACTACCAAGTGTCCATCTTATTCTGAGTAAGATTACCTGTTATTTAATGTGCCTTTAGGTCTTGGACCTACCTAGAGTCCTTAGTATGTATGGGTGGGAAAGAAGAAGGTTTCAATGTTTTAGGCATTTAACGGAAATTTAGAGTTTTTGCAATATGGAATGGACCCTAATGCTAAAGCCCAGATTTCCGAGGGTTGACGGGTAGGCAGATACTAGTTATAGAATGCTGTGGGCTCATAAGTAGTAGTAGATCTGATCAGAAAGCACTCCGCACAAAAGCAGTGGTGTCTGCCACAAGCCATATATTCTGATAAGGTTCTGAAGAGAAGGCCTGTGGATGCAGGTGCCTTATGAAACTGAGAGGGGATGGAACTGGTAGCAGAGGATTGATATTTTCTGGGGCTTAGATCTTCATAAAAGACGTCCTACTCAAGATAGTCTATTTTCTGTGTTCTTACCCTGGACCCTCAGTGCAATGACTAAGGAATAGAATATGTATGGTCCCTGAGGTTTTTAGTTGTAATAGTTCTGATAGTACTTATGGATCTTTAAACTGTAAATAGAATTGAAGACCCGCCATGTGCACAGGTTATTCCAAAAAAGAATATAGAATCCTCATCAAATAGAATGTACTTTTGCTGTAAGTAATCATCTATAATTGTACTTCCTTGTGTTTTAGAATCAGCCGTGTTTGTGCCTGAATGAATGGTTCGTTAATAGAATCAGTCAAAAGAACAAGGAAAGGGATGGTGTAGCTATACATTAATAGGCTTGCAGATAAAAAATACACAAAGTACACTCAAATAATAACCAAAATAGTTTATAACTTAAAATTTTACATAAAAAAATAGCAAAGTATAATTAATGCTTTTTCCTACTCTCAGTTAAAGGACATTAAAAATGTTGGACATTAAGACATTAATTGTATTTCTTGTATTTTAATTTCCACATTTCACGTTTGCTACCCATAATCTATTTTGTGCTACCCATAATCTATTCACCAAGATCTATTTTACCTGTCCTTTATAAAGTATTCACTTTGTCATTATTATTCTATAATTGCATTTATTGGCATGTGGTTATTGAGCACATAGAATGTGTCTAGTCCAAACTGAAATGTGCTATAAATGTAAAATATATCAGAATTTAGAAACTTAGTACGAAAAAAACAAAAACCAAACCAAAACGTAAAACTCAACTTTCACATTCTGGCTACATTAGATTACATAAATTACTAAAATTAGTTTCATCTTTTAAAAAATCTTTTAAAATGTGGCAACAATAAAATCAGAAATTACATGTGGCTCACACTGTACATGTACTGGACAGAACGGGGCTAGGACATTTGAAAGAAACTGGCTATACCTTTAACTTACCAGTATTTTATATACTCACTATCTGCTTTTGGAAATGGGAATTATAAAATAAAATAAGAATCTGGCTACTTTTATGCATGCTTTTAGTTTTTTCTAATGGACATAAATTATTTTTTAAATAAAGTAAAAATGTTAATATTGTTTTAAAATCTTAGTTACAGAAAAGAACTGGCATTTAAGACATGTAGCATGAAAGATTAAAACAGTGAATAAATCAAATTCACCTATTTCACTTGTGAAATATATTTTGTACCTGTATCAAGTACAAAAATAAGGCACCTAGAGTTAGGAATAGAAATCTGGGAGAACACAAGAGTTCACTGTCTACTTGTACAGAAGTTACAATTCTCATCAAAATGATGGCGGAAGCTCTCCTATTAAGGTGACTGACTGTCAATGTGACTGTCTAAGCCACTGTGCTCTCATATTCCTTCCTGTGTTTCCATAAGAGGACCTGTTTTTTTGCACCAAGAATTGAGAATACACACTTAAGTCAACAATGACAGAATACGTGCAATTTTCTTTTCCTTCCATATCTAGCATGTGAGAACTTTTACGATAAATCTAACACTAATCACCTGACATAAAGGGACTTGTTCATGAATTATTTAAAATATGACTAGTTACTGATTTTCAGTAAAATATACCATAAAGTTTTTTTGTTTCTTATTGGTTAAGGGCAATTTATTCTGAAATGTTGCTTTTGTGTTGTTTGCTTTCTGGCAAAATACTGGAACACTTGTTATCAAAAGCTTCCTTCCGACACTGGCATAATCCCAGCCATTATCCATCTTCAGGCGTTCCCAGGAAGTCACATGAATTCTGAGTGTCTAATAATACTCTGGTGCGTTCACTTCATCTGCAAAAGAAACTGGCACAACCACCCCCTGCCGGTGCAGCTCTCTGAGAACATCTAATATTGAGTCTAATTCTGTGCGGAACTTGTCCAGCTCACGATTCTTCAACTGTGCGAGTCTTTTCCATTTCTCAATTTCTTTGTTTTGCTCCGTTTCCACTACTTGGTGTGTTTGCTGTATTATCTGTAAATAAAAATCCATATTACTGTTACAGTTCATAGTGGGGGTGAAGAACATTTAAACAATCTCAAGGAGCTAAAGCGGACAATGCTGGCTATAAGTGGGAGGAGAGGGAGCCCTACCCAACCGGCTCCACTGTGTCAATGAACAGGCTTGCACGTGAAGAGGGTGAAAAGTGGGACATTTAGAATCTAGTTCTGATAGGGATTTTTAGTTAGTTAGTTTGTTTGTTTTTTTAAGCTGTGAATAATGAGTACTATATTGCATCAGAAATTTCTAATAACTTGGTATGACTCCAAACATCTCCAAAAAGCTCTTCCTCTTAAGAATAGCACCTGAGATGCAATCAAGATAGTTTTAATATACAACACATGTCATTATGTTATAGCACTAGAAATGATAAGAAAAGTACACACATGTAGCATCTATCATGTGTCAGGCTTGGTTTTGAGAATTTTATCCATGTTAACTCATTTAATTCTGCCACCACACTAGGAGGTGAATTCTACATATTTATCCCCACTTAACAGGTAGGGAAATGGAGGCACAGATAAGTTAAAAAAAATTTTGGTCAAGGCTCACACACAATCCATTGAAGCAGTCAGGATTCCCACCCAGGCAGCCTGGCCCCAGAGTCCCTGCTGTTAACCACCACATTAAACTGCCTTGCTTATGTGGGTCAATTTTTTCAGCTATGAAGTGAGGGTACCCATTCCAGTACCACAGGGGAATCATTAGTCACAAGCATTACAAACCAGAGAAAGCGAGACATACAAAAACGACTACTGAGGGCAACAAAACCAATAACGTTCCTAAATATTGAATATGCTGAATGAACATCTCTAATATAATTTTTATCAATGACCCTGCCTTACTATAGAGTTAATGTCTTAATTCTAACATAAAAGCATTTCAGAAATATTGTGTAAATAGGTGCTTGAGTTCAAGGGAACATCAAATGCTATATGAATTTTTAATTTTAAGTAAAACATTATACTTAAATTTTAGATGGCTATTATATGGTGAAATTAATTTGGCATTTAACATTTTTTTCCAGTTATATTGAGATATTACTGACATATAACATTGTATGTTTAAGGTATACAAGGTAGTTGACTCAATACACACACACACATATCATTTTACCATATGTTTATGGTAAAATTACAATAAGTTAACATCTACTGCCTCACATAGCTTCAAAATTTTTTCCTTGTGATGAAAATTTAAGGTTTACTTTCCTAGCAGTTTTCAAATATACAATACAGTATTGTTACTATAGCCAGCATGCTGTACATTACATCCCCAGAACTTACACCGAATGTTTGTACCTTTTGACCATCTTCACCAATTTCCCCCATACCACCCCTCCTCTGGCAATTACCAGTCTGATCTCTGTTTCTATGAGTTTTTTTAGAATCCATATATAACTGAGATCATACATTATTTGTCTCTGTCTGATTTACTTCACTTAGCAAAATGTCTTCAAGGTCGACCCATGTTGTTGCAAGCAGTAGGATTTCCTTTTCTGTGGCTGAATGCTATTCCACTGTATGTATATACACCACATTTTCCTTATCCTTCATCCACGGATAGACATTTATGTTGTTTCCATGTATTGGCTATCATAAATAATGTTGCAATAAACATGGGGCGTAGATCTCTCTTTGGTATAGTGACTTGTTTCCTTCAAATATATAAAGTGGAACTGTTGGATCACACAGTAATTCTATTTTTAATATTTTGAGGAACTGCCATACTGTTTTCCATAGTGGCTGCACCAATTTATATTCCGCCAACAAGAGTTCCTTTTTCTCCGCATCCTTACCAACACTTGTTATTTTTGTCTTTTTGGATGACAGCCATTCAACAGATGTGAGGTGACATCTCATTGTGCTTTTGATTCGGATTTCTCTAATAATTAGTGATCTTGAGCATTTTCATATAACTGTTGGCCATATAAATATCTTATTGAAAAATGTCTATTCAGGTCCTTTGCTTTTTTTTTTTTTTTTTTGCCATTGAGTTATGAGTTTCTTGTACATTTTGGATTTTAACCCCTTATCAGATGTGTGGTTTCCAAATATTTTCTCCCACTTCATAGGGCTGCCTTTTAATTTTTTTGTTTCTTTAGTTATGTAGTTTTTATAGTTTGATGTAGTCCAACTTTTTTTTAAATTTTGTTGCTTATGCTTTAAGTGTCATAATCAAAAAATAATTATCAAGACCCAGGTAAAGGAGCGTTTTCCCTATGTTTTCTCCTAGGAGTTTTATGGTTTCAGGTCTTATTTTAAGTCTTTAAATCCATTATGAGTGGTGTAAGATAGGGGTCTAGTTTCATTCTTTTGCATGTGAATATCCAATTTACCCAGAATTATTTATTGAGAATGTCATTTCTCCATTGAGTATTCTTGACTCCCTTATCAAATACTAGTTGGTTGTATATGCATGAATTTATTTCTGGGCTCTTGATTCTGTTCCACTGGTTTACAGTCTGTTTTTAATGCCAGGACCATACCGTTTTGATTACTACAGCTCTGTAATATAGTTTCAAATTTAATAAGTGTGATGCTTCCAACTTTGTTCTTTTTTGTCGAGATTGCTTTGGCTATCTGGTGCTTTTTGTGGTTCCATACAAATTTTAGAATTTTTTTTTTCCCATTAGTTATGAGTCACTTAACGACGGCGATACTGTCTGAAAAATGTGTCATTAGGCAATTTTTGTCACTGGGTTAACGAACATCATAGAGTGTACTTATGCAAACCTAGATGGAACAGTCTACTTCACACCTAAGCCATGTGTATAATCTTATGGGACAACCAGAGTATATGCAGTCTGTCACTGACTGAAATATCATTATGCAGAGCATAGCTGTACTGTAAAAACGGCCAATGGAATCTTGTTAGGGATTATACTGAATCTATAGATTGCTTTGGGTATGTTAGTGTTGTTTTTGGTTTTACGTGACTGGGTAGGTTAGTTTTGGGAATGCTAAAAATTTTTACATATAAATTAACAGTAACTGCTTCTTTTTATGCCATTTCAACTTATCAAAGGTTTCATAGGTCAGTCTACTTTTGGATAGTGGGGAAAATCTGCATTAATTCTTCCAATCTATAGATATGGGATACCTTTTCATTTATTTGTAGCTTTAATTTCTTTCATCAATGTCTTATGTCTTATAGTTTTCAGTCTACAGATATTTTACTTCCTCGGATAGATTACCAAATATTTTAATGTTTTTTATGCTACTGCATATAAGATTTTCTTTTTCAGATAATTTGTTATTATATAAAAAACTAGTGTTTTTTTTCACTAGTGGATTTTGTATAGATTTTTATACCCTGCAATTTTACTGAATTTGTTGACTAATGAACAATTTTTATGTGAAGCCTTTATATACATTTGCTATATATAAGATCATGCCATCAACATAGTCAATTTTACTTCTTCATTTCCAATTCTGATGCTTTTCCTTTCTTTTTCTGGCCTGATTGCTCTGGCTAGGAATTCCAGTAGTTTGGAAGTCCAGTACTGTAGGTGTGGTGACACTGAGCACCCTTGTCTCGTCCCTGATCTTAGAGGAAAAACTTTCAAACTTTCACCACTGAGTATGTTAGCTGTGGGCTTGTAATATATAGCCCTTACTATGTTGAGGTACATTCCTTCCGTACTTCATTTGTTAAGAGTTTTTGTCATGAATGGATGTTGAATTTTGTCAAATGCTCTTTTTTGCATCTATTGAGATGATCATGATTTTTATTTTTCATTCTATCAATGTGACATATCATACCAATTCATGTGCATATGAGGAACCATCTTTACAAATCTCAGGGATGAATCCCACTTAATTGTAGTGTATAATTTTAATGTGGTTTAATTTTTTTTTCCTTCTTTAAGAATTTTTGCACCTATATTCATCAGAGATAGTGACCTACAGTTTTTTCTTGCAGTGTCCTTATCTGCCTTTGTTATCAGGGTAATGCTTGCCTTGTAAAATGAGTTTGGGAGTGTTCTTTTCTATTCTTCGGAAAATTTTGAGAAGGACTGGCATTAATTGGTTTTTAACAGTTCGACTGAATTCACCAGGAAAGTCATCTGGTCCTGGGCTTTTCTCTGTTGGGAGGTTTCGATTACTGATTCGGTCTCCTTACTAGTAATTGGTCTGTTCAGATCTTATGTCTCTTAATGATTCAGTCTTGGTCAGTTTCTGGGAATTTATCCATTTCTTCTAGGTTGTCTAATTTGTTGAGGTATACAGACACACCTCTTTTTATTGCACTTCACTGATGTAGCATTTTTTACACATTGAAGACAAGATACCCTACCAGCAAAAAGATTACGACTAGCTTTATTGCAATATTCATTGTGGTTTTAATTTGCATTTCTCTGATGATCAGAGATATTGAGCATCTCATTCATATGTCTATTGGCCATCTGTATGCCCTCTTTGGAGAAATCTCTATTCAGATCCTCTGCCTACTTTTTAATTGTATTGTTTGCTTTTTGGTGTTAAGTTGTATGAGTTTCTTATGTTTTGGATATTAACCTCTAATCAGATATATCATTGGCAAATATCTTCTCCACTCAGTAGGCTGCCTTTTTGTTTTGCTGATGGTTTCCTTTGCTATGCAGAGCTTTTTAGTTTGATGACGTCCTGTTTATTTTTTCCTTTGTTTCTCTTGCCCAAGGAGACATATCCAAAAAAAACCAAACGAACAAACAAAAAAACCAAAAACAAAAAAACAAAAACCTAAGCAATGTCAGAGTTTACTGCCTATGTTATCTTTTAGAAGTACTTAAGTCTTTATTTTGAGTTTATTCATATAAGAAAGTGATCCAGTTTCATTCTTTTGCATTTATCCGTCCAGTTTTCTCGACATTTAATTGAAGAGACTGTCTTTACCCCATTGTATATTGCTCCTTTGTCACAGAATTGACCATATTGGCGTGGGTTTATTTCTGGGCTCTAGGTGGTAAGCTTAGATTCCTTTATCTCTTGTGTTTTTGCTAGAAGTTTTTGCTTCGTGGTTACCATAAAGCTTACTTACATAAGACAACTTTCACTTTTAAGTTTATTTTAAGTTGATAACAACTTAAGTCGAATGCATTCTAAAGTTCTACATTTTTATTTCTCCTGTTTTATGTTTTTGATGTCACAATTTATATCTTTTTATCTTGTGCAGCCCTGAAATTATTAGTTATATTTTGATTACTTTTACCTTTTAACTTTCATATTAGATTTATAAATGATTAACCCACTATCTTTACAACATGAGATTATTCTGAATATTGGCATATATTTACCTTTGCCGGTGAGATTTATACTTTCAGATGTCCTATTACTGATTAACACCCTTTTGTTTCAGCTTAAAGACATCCTTTTAACATTTCTTGTGAGGCTAGTCTAGTGGTGATTAACTCCTTTAGCTTCTGTTTGTCTGTAAAACTTTCTTTTATCTCTCCTTCAATTGTGAATGACAGGTTTGCTGGGTAGAGTATTCTGGTTGGAAGTTTTTTCTTTCAGCACTTTAAATATATTGTGCTGTTGCCTTCTGGACTGCACAGTTTCTGCCGACAAATCTGGTGATGGTCTTAAGAAGGTTCCTTGTATATATCAAGCTTTTTTTCTCTTGCTTTTTTCTTTCATCGTCTTTAGATTTTGGTAATTTAATTATAATGTGTTTTGTTGTGGGTCTTTGGGTGTTTCTTATTTGGAACTCTGGGCATCCTGGATCTGGATGCTGTTTTATTCTCCAGGTTATGAAAGTTTTCAGCCATTATTCTTCAAATTGTTTTCTGCCTTTTCTCTCTCTCTCTCCTTCTGGGACTCCTGTTTGATGGTGTTCCATTAAGTCCCTTAAGCTATCTTAACTTTTTCTTTCATTCTTATTTATTATTTTTTGTTGCTCTGATTGAATGATTTTCACCACCCTGTCTATGAGTTCACTGATCTTTTCTTCTGCTTCATGCAGTCTACTATTGAACAACTCTATTGTATTTTTCAGTGCCGTTATTGTATTCTTTAGAAGTCACAAACTATTTGGTACTTTCTTATAATTTCTACCTCTTTGTTGAAGTTTTTACTTTGTTCAGGCAATCACTTATTTGTTTCATAAAGACGCTTTCTGGTGTTTTAACTTGTTCTTTCTTTTGGAATCTCCTCGTCATGGAAAAGCTTGGGGATTTGAGCTCCCTATTGATTGTGGGTCACTGCAATGGAGGTGGGGATTATAATAAGGTTGTGTCTTAGCCTCTCCTACCCTTTTTGATATGTTTTTCCTTGTTCACCTGATGCATAGGAGTTCAGCTAGTTTTTCAGGGTCTTTTTTCCCCCAGAGGAAACTGTTCCATATGTAGCTGTAGATGTAGTATGTCTATGGGAGATGAATTCAGGAAATTCTTATGTTGCAATCTTGAAATGGAACTTGTCTTTGACTTGAAGACTTATTTATAATGTGTCTTGGTGTAGACCTTTTTAGGTTCTATTTAGGGTCCTTTGGGCCTCATTAATTTGAACGTCTGTATCTCTCCCCAGGAGTTTCAGCCATTATTGCTTTAAGTATACTTTCTATTTTCCTTTTTCTTCTTCTGGAGTTTTCAAAATGGAGACATTATTTTTTCTAATTGTGTCTCAAATTCTGAAAACTTTTTAGGTTTTCATTCTTCTATCTCCTATGACAAGATAATTTCAAATGATCTATCTTTCAGTTCACTGATTCTTCTGCTAGGTCGAGTCTATTGTTGAACCTCTTGATTCTTCAGTTCTGTCCTTTGTGTTTTTCAGGTGTACAATTTGTTTTGATGGTTTCTATTTTTGTTGAATTTGTTTTGCTCATGTATTTTCTTATTTTGTTTAGTTGTCTCTGTGTTCATCTAGTTCCAACTTCTTTAAGAGGACTATTCTGAATTATTTTTGTCTGAGAGTTCATAGCGTTCCAGTTCTTTAGGGTCCGTTATTAGAGCTTTATTAGTTTCCTTTGGTGGTGTCATATTTACCTAATTCTCATGATCCTTGATTTTTTGTGTTGGTATCTGTGCATTTGAGTAAGTGGTCTCCTTTTTAGGAGGTTTACTTTGGCAGGGACAGTTGTATGCCACTCAATGCAGCTTGGGGTTTTGGACACGTTGGCAGTAGTATCCTTGGGCAAATCTCCTGGAAACTATTTTGTTCTTTTTTTTTTTGACTGTGATTGGAATCTCTTTTTTGTGGGGGAGGGTGAGGCCCTGACCTCATACCTTGATTCTGCAAATGAACACAACTGCTGGTTGGTATCTCTACTTGGGCACTGGTTCAGAGGAAAAGTCAGTCTATCAAGATGTCAGTGTTGGTTGCTGTAAGGCCTGCCACCCTTTCTTATCACAATCTGATCTCCAGGGCTTGAGCAATACAGATTCACTCTGAAATCCCCATGAGGCGAGACCCACGTGGGCCTCTTGGAAGCAACCTACAATTGTGGGCAAGCTGAATGTTCACCTTGGGCTCTTTTTTTCACTGTAGATCCTCATGGTGCACACTGTGCCTGCCTGGGGGAGGGGTGATGCTGTCAGATTGTGACTGTTCCTCCTACCCTTCTTAATGCACTCTGTGGTCCAAATGGGTCCTTTAGCCTCATTTCTGTGTTCTTAGATTTTATGGATGGTTGCTAGTTAGTCTTCTTATGAGGCAGACTGAAGGTGTAATGACCAATGTTGCCATCTTGACGATATCCTAATTTATCATTTTACCATGTTGTATGTGAAACTGAAATCCATCACCTCTATAAATCAAGGATGTCCTAAAAATCCTACTATATTTTTCCTCTAGTAACTAAAACAGTCAAAATTTATAAAATAAATGTACATATTAAAATAATGTATACAAGATTTTTCAATATATGTACATACATTAATCACATTTATTTATAACAAGACTCCAAATTATTAGCTGTCATAAGGCTATAATACAGTGTGTGTCTGTAATAAGTGAGGAAGAAAATGTTAAACATATTCAACAACTTACAACCATTTCCTGGGACAGGCATTAAAAAGTGACACATGGGGTTGGCTTTGGTGAAATGGCGATCCATTGTGATGTCTTAATTCTATTATGGATAATGGCTTCTTGGTGTACAATGTGTTTTTAAAAGAAGTCCACAAATAAGTTTGAGTAAGAATGAGAAATAAATTTCATTAATCTCTTTGTTCTCCATTTCACATTTTGTAGTTCTGAGAGAGATAAAAAGCTGGAATCTTGATAGGACTAAATTGAGCTAAGGTTTTTCTGTGTAACTTAAGTCAACTATGAAGCTCTCAATGATGGTATTTTTTGTTTTCAAAGGATATATAAAGTTACACTGTTTTAGAGTGAACCTTTGTATGTCCCCCTCTTCAAATGTTGAAGCCTTAAGCCACAATGTGGCTGTATTTGGAGGAAGGAACTAATTAAGGTGAAATGAAGTACCAACAGTAGGGGCCTGAACATTTTAGATGGATTGGATTAGTGTCTTTATAAGAAGAGGCATCAGAGAACTCTCACCAGAAAATGAATCGACTGGAACCTTGATTTTGGAATTCTAGCTTCCCAAATAGTGAGAAAATTAGTTTTTTAATCCACTCAGTTTGATATTTTGTTGTTCCATTCCAAGCAAACTAAATATCAGTACCAAGGCTCATGCCTAAAAACACATCATGCCCTTACTTTTGCCATTTCTGATTTCTATTAATTTACCTGTTTATAATTAAGTATAGTAATTATTATTAGTATTAGGCACATAATAATTTAAATAATCGCATTTTAATGTAAATATATTTCTTACAAACTTTTATTGAAATGAACTTTTTAGGTACCATCAATCATTATGAACATGATGTATCTTTATTTCTTCGAATGTAAGGCAAACCAATCTTCATATATTTGAGATTTAGTCTTTCTCTTAAAAGCTATATATTTATTTTAAAAATATCAATATATAATGGAAACACTTTAAGAAGTTTTGCTAAGAATGACAAAACTTTAGCAAACTGGAGGTTACTTAAAAGTGAAGAACTACACAAATATGTAAATGTGATTTACCACTTTACCTGTTGAAGTTCCTGCTCTCTTTGTTTATGTCTCATTTCCATCTGTTTAATTTTCTTTTCTAAGCCCATGAAATGTTTCATCTCTGGTGTATGGCTTTCTTTGGCTTCTCTCAATTCTTCTAACAGTTTTGTAATCTAAAATGGAGTTATGAAGTACATGAAAAACTATGATAGCAAGGAAATAAGTAGTTTTTAACAGGTAGTCTTAAGAAGTAAGAATGTTCACCACATCTTCTTTGTAAAAAAAAAAAAAATGTATATAAGAGGCTTCTTGTTACCAAAGGTATCTTGAGTTTTTACAATAACTAATAGCTTTCATTCCCTGTGCCCATGGCAGAAATGATAGTCTACAGAGCAAAGCCAGTGGCCTGTTCAGACAGGGATCTTGGGGTACTGGTTGGCTTGAGTCAAGACCACAAATAAAGAGCCTTACCAGCACTTGAGCTGGTTCTCCCACTATGCCTAGGCAGGGAAATATTTTGTAGCCCCTCACATTGCTGAATAATACAGCTTTCAGCTTCTCTGACCAGGGAACCTAACTAGAGCACTGCCTAAAGCGGCAACTGAACAGCAAGCACAACCTGTGGGTCTCCCTGTCTACAGAACAAAACAGATGGCCCCATTTGCCCAGAGAATTCAGTACACAGTCTTGCTTGATTCAGGTCCCCAAACAACAAGGTGAGCAGGCTTTGGGGTCTGTCTTGCTGCCTTTCCAGGGCAGAGAAGCTAAGTATAATATCTAGTCGTGCATGTCTAGTAAGCCTGACCAAAGAGCCCTTCCTACAGGGAACCAAACTAGATATCTGTCTGACTATACTCAGACCTCAGAGTTTGGGCAGTGGCCTTGCTCCAAAGTAGCCATGTGTTGCTTAACAATGGGGACATGTTCTGAGAAATGTGTTAGGCAATTTTGTTGTTGTGCGAACATCACAGAGTATACTTACATAAACCTGGATGGTATAGCTTATTACATATCTAGGCTACAAACCTATACAGCATGTTACTATACTGAATATTATAGGCAACTGTAAGACAATGGTATTTATTTATCTAAACAAAGAAAAAGTACAGTAAAAAATACAGTATAAAAGATGAAAAGTGGTACACCTGTACAAGGCACTTACCATAAAGCTTGCAGGACTGGAAGATGCTATGAGTGAGTCAGTGAGTGAATGTGAAGGCCTAGGACATTGCTGTATATTATGGTAAACCAATAAACACTGTACACTTACACTACACAAAATTTATAGAACATGAGATTAAATCAAGTATAAGAGAAAATTATGCAATCAAGAGATATGAACATGAGATGTATGAGGTTGCTGCCAGTGTAACAAGGTATAATGTTTTACAGCAAACTTTTTTTTGAGTAGAGAACACTGTAAAATAACAATTAAAAAGTATAGTAAATATGTAAACCAGTAACATGGTCAAGTATTATCATCAAGTAGTATGTACTGTACGTAATTGCATGTGTTATACTTTTATATGACTTAGAAACAGTAGATTTATTTATACCAGCATTTCTATAACCAGGTGAATAATAACTGTGCTACATTGCAATGGCTATGATGTCACCATGCAATAGGAATTTTTCAGCTACTTTATAATCTTATGGGACCACCGCAGTATATGCGGTCCACTGTTGACTGAAAAGTTATATGGCACATAACAACAGACCTTTATAGCAAGCCCCACATGCCCAAAAATGTTACTGGTAGACATGGCTAGAAACCCAAAATGAGCTTGTGAAGAACTTTCTCTGCCAAAGTGAACCTGTAAAGGCTGGAAGAGGAGACCACTTACTTGAATACAAAGATACCAACAAAAAGAATCAAAGACGAAGAAACTCTGGTAAAAATGACAACTTCAAAGGAAACTAATGAATAAAAGATCTACAAAATGTCACACAAAAAATTTAGAGCAATCATCTTAAGTTTAGAGCACTACAAGAACACACAGACTTAACTAAATGAAATTAGGAAAACAATGCAGGAACAAAAAGACAAGTTCAACAAAGAAATCCTAAGGCTGAAAAATATGACTGAACTGTAGAATTCAACAGCTTCGACAACAGACTTGACCATGCAGAAAAAAGTCAGTGATCTAAAAGGCCATTTAAAATTATCTCGTCATAGAAGCAAAAAGAAAAAAATGAAAATGAGTACAGAAAAGCTATGTGACTTATGGGTCATAATCAAAAGAAACAGTATCTCATCTCCATTTTAGTATACAGAAGGAGAAAAAAAAGGGACAGAAAATATAGTTAAAGAAATAATGGCAGAAACTTTCTAAACCTGGAGGAGAAACAGACATCCAAATCCATGAACCCCAAATATGTTGAACCCGAATAGGGTTACACTGTAACACATTATAATTAAACTGTCAAAAGTCAAAGAATTTTGAAAAACAGCAAGAGAAAAGAGAGAAATCACATACAAGGTAACCCCATTAAGACTATCAGTGGATTTCTCAACTGAAACATTCAGGACAGGAGACAATGAGAATGATATACAGTCATGCACTGCATAACATTTAGGTCAATGACACTGCATTAACAACAGTGGTCCCAAAAGATTATAATGGATTATAAGCAAAAAGTTAGTTTCCAATGTTGAAAGTAAAGGCTGGACCCAACAATGATGGTGAATTTACTGCTGGATCTAGGTGGTTTAAATAAGTGAAGAGGCTCAGCATGCTGTCCACCCACTGTGTGCCCATGGACCTGACTTTGCCAGGGGTAAGAGTTGATGAGAGAGCAAGAGGAGTGGGTGGGGGAGTCTGGAGCCACTCCCCACACATGTGTGCACATACTTGCTTCCCTTCCTTTTCTCTTTATCTCTCTTTCCTCCCAGTCTCCTTTCTCTTTCCCCTTCCTCCCTCCCTCTCTTGCTCTCTTTCTCTTCGGCCTCTTATTTCTCACCTTGAGCTATCTCTCTCTCTATCTTTTTCAATTCTGCTTCCCTCCCTCCTCCAAACATCTACTCTCCCTTCCCATGGTGCCTTTTTCCAGTCTTCCTCCTGCTCCAACAAGCATACCATACATGCACAGTTTATTATCTTTTATACTATATCTAAATGTACCTCTTTTATGTTCAGATTTGTTTAGATACACAAATACCATGGTGTTACAACTGCCTACAGTATAAGAACATGCTGTACAGGCTCATAGCCTAGGAGAAATAGGCTATACCATAATAACCTAGGTATATAGTAGACCATACCATCTAGATTTGTGTAAGTATACTATATAAGTTCCCACAATGACAAAATCGCCTGATGCATTTCTCAGAATGTATGCCTACTATTAAGTGGTGCATGACTGTATTCAAAATATTAAAAAAGACCTGTCAATTAAGAATGCTATAACCGGCAAAGCTATTCATCAGAAATGAAGGAGAGATAAAGGACATTCCTGAACAAACAAAAGCTGGGGGAGTTCATCACCACTACACTTGCCTCACAAAAAATATGCTAAAGAGAGTACTTTGAGTGAAAAAAAAAAAAGAGGTAACATGATAAAAACATAAGGTACTGTAAAAACTCACTGATAATGGTAAATATATAGTAAAAGTTAGATTGGTAATAGTGGTGCATTATTCACTTACAACTCTAGTTTAAAAGTTAAAAAGCAAATGTAGTAAAAATAATAACTACAGCAATCTGCTCTTATACAATATAAGAGCAGTTACACAATATAAAAGGTATGCAAATAGTAACAGTAATAACCTAAAATGCAGGGAAAGGAGATGTAAAAGTGTAAAGTTTAGAAATTCTATTGAAGTTTTTATTAGTTCGAAATAGAGTGTTATATATAATTTTGTGATATTTTAAGTAAGACTCATGATAACTACAAGGGAAAAATCTGTAGTATTTATATAAAAGCATGATTAAAAAAAAGTCAAAGCATACTAATAACAAAAGAAACAAAACACAAAAAAAGACAGCAGAATAGGAAACAAGGAAATATATACTTACAAAACAGCCAGAAAGCAATGGACAAAATGTCAATAAGTCGTTATCTATCAATAATTACTTTAAATGAATTAAATTCTCTAATCAAAAGACACAAAATGGCTGAATAAATAAAATTACTAAGATTCAATGATATACTATCTACGATAGACTCACTTTAGCCTTAAAGACAGACACAGAATGAGAGCGAAGGGATGGTAAAAGATATTTCAAACAAATAATATATAGAATAAAGCAGAGGTAGGATACCTGTATCAGACAAAAGACTTTAAACTAAAAGTGGTAAAACGAGATAAGGCTATTATCTAACAATAAGAGGGTCAATCCATTAAGATGTAACAATTCTTAAGTATTTGTGCACACAATTTTGGAACACCCAAATATGTAAAGTAAAAACAGAGCTAAAAGGTGAAATAGCAATATAACAATATTTGAGAACTTTAATACCACATTTTCAACAGCAGATAAATCATCCAGACCGAGTATCAATAAGGAAAT